AGAATCTACTATGCAAGATCGACTAAATAATTTAATGAGGTTTCTCGAGAAAGAAGTGCGACGAGAAGAGAAATTACTTTTAGCTACTTCACGATTTGATCTTCAGAATAAAAATAAAGCAAAACTTTCTAATACTCCTGCTACAGCTTCAGATTTAATAAACAAAAGTTATATAAAATGTATTTTTTGCCAGAAATCACATGAGAGTAAAGATTGTACATTTGCTTCTTCCTTGTCTCTCCCAGAAAAGAAGCTTAAATTAACCACTAATGGTCGTTGTTACATATGCCTCAAGTTTGGACATACGGCTAGAAATTGTCGCGTCAAGGTGAGGTGCACCAGTTGTCAAAGAAAGCACTACAGTATTATGTGTCCTAAGGCTGAAGGCGAAAGTCAATTAAAATTGAAGAGATGTCACTTTCAAATGTAACTTATACTGAAGTATTTTTACAAACCCTAGCAGTTTGTGTCATTGGAGAAGATGTATCAAGAAGAGCTAGATTAATTATCGATACTGGATCTCAAAGGTCATACATTTTGAAGTCTACAGCTTTAGAAATGGACTACAAACAACTACATGAAGAAGAGTTGATACATTCGTTGTTTGGAGGATCACAAAGTGAAGCTGTAAAACATTCTTGTTATAAAGTTCGTTTATGTAATTTTAATGTTTTGGATCAAAACATTATTTGTCACAATATTTCTTCGATAACTAAAGGGCCTTGGTCAAATGAATTAAATAAATTAGGTGTAAACCTTACTGATACCAGAGAAGGTGTAGTAGAAATATTAATTGGAGCTGATATCGCAGGAAAACTTTTTACTGGAAAAAAATATGATTTAGAATGTGGCTTAGTAGTTATGCAAACTGTCCTAGGTTGGATATTAATGGGAAAAAGTTCGTTTCCACAACATATTACTCGTAGCAATTTTACTACATCGACTGTTTCTATGTTTTTAAAAGATTCTACTTTATCTGAGATGTGGAAATTAGATGTGCTGGGTATTACTAATCCCAGTGACCGGATGTCACGTCAAGAGAAGGAAAACGAAGTTATGAACCATTTTCTTGAAACTATTAGTAGACATGAAGACGGAAGATACAAAGTTTGTATGCCCTTTGTGGAAGGTCATGCTTGTCTCTCTACAAACTTTGATATGGCCCATCGAAGACTTCTAAATTTAATTAAACGTCTTCATGATGATGGCTATTACGACGACTATCAGCAACAGTTAAATGATTGGTTGGAAGAAGGTATTATAGAAGAAGTTTCAGAAGAAAACTATAGATTCAATGGTCATTATTTACCACATCGGCATGTTGTCAAATTATCCAGTGCAACAACTAAAATTCGTCCAGTTTTTGATGCGTCTGCAAGAGAAAAGAATTGTCCATCATTAAATCAATGCTTGGAAAAAGGTGTTAATTTTCTTGAATTGATTCCTTCAATTTTACTTCGTTTTAGAACTTCTCGGTTTGGAGTGGTAACAGACATAAGAAAAGCCTTTTTACAGATTAGTCTCCAAGAAAATGATAGAGATTATTTAAGATTTCTGTGGTATGACAAAAATAATATTTTCAAGGTGTATCGACATGCTCGTGTAGTTTTCGGTGTAACATGTAGTCCTTTCCTACTTAGTGCTGTTATAAATTTTCATCTTCAGGCCACTCTTGAGTTGATTCGAAGCCACCAATCTCTTTATTCTGAGAATATCGTTTTGAAATTAATAAAAGGTTTTTACGTCGATAATTGTATTCTCAGTGTAGATTCGGAAGAAGAAGTGAGGCAAGTGATCAAACAGAGTACAGCCATATTAGAAGAAGCTAAATTTGATCTTCGAGCATGGGAGCATACTATTTTTGATATAAATATCCTAGAGTCTTTCTTAACACCTGTTCTTGGACTAATTTGGAACAGAAACCTTGATAGTTTTGAACTTTCTTTAGATTGGGTCAATAAAATAAACGTTTCTGTAATAACGAAAAGGGTTATTCTGTCTATTGTAAACAAAATTTTCGATCCTATCGGATTTTCTTGTCCAATTTCTTTATACCCAAAGTTATTATTGCAGAAAACTTGGACCTCTAAAATAGGTTGGGATGTAGAAGTAGAAGACGATTTTCGATTAGGTTTTCTTAATTGGGTCAACCAACTTTCGTGGTTGGTTAATTTGAAAATACCGCTATGGTTATTTACATCTGTTACAGTTTTCAATTTAACCCTTCATGTTTTTAATGACGCAAGTAAAGATGCTTATGCAACTTCTATTTTCTTGAGATCTGAGAGTTCTTTAGGTGTAAATGTGCAATTTGTACAAGCGAAATCCAGATTATGTCTACTGAAAAGTCTAAGTATACCACGTTTGGAGCTTTTATCTACCACGATTGGAGCCAGACTGGCAAAAACTATTCTAGAAAATTTTGATCATGACGTTAAAGTTTTTTATTGGTCTGATTCTTCTACGGTTTTAACTTGGATTAAGGATGATGATCAATGTAAACCTTTTGTGTGGAATCGCGTATGTGAAATTCGCCGTCTAACGAACAAAAGTGATTGGTACCATGTACCTGGACATCTAAACGCTGCTGATTTGCCCTCTCGTGGTTGTTCTCCTAAAAAGCTGATTGAAAGTAAATGGTGGGAGGGTCCTAATTAGCTTTTGAAACCATCTACAGATTGGCCGTCTCAAGATTATGTTACAAATGAGGTTTTAGTAAATTCTGAGAAAAAATCACGAGTTGTTTCTGCGATGGTTAATGCAGTAGAATATTCTTGGTATTATTCCTATTTTTCCAATTACAATAAAATTGTTAGGATGGTTGCATGGGTCAAACGATTTTTAAACAATATACGCGAGAAAGATAAAATGAAGCAAATAAAGGCTGGTTTGTCTTCTCAAGAAATAGAGTTTGCTGAAAATATGATCATAAGGCTGATTCAAGAAGAAAGTTTTCAAGGGTGCAAAGATTCTAGGTTATCTTCAATGTTGGTATTTCTTGATAGTCAGGGTATTATAAGGATGAAATCAAAAGTTTCTTATAGGGAAGATTCCTTAAGTTTTCGTTTACCCTGTATATTACCTTCCAATCACGTAATGGTTCATAGATTAATATCTTATGAACATGTGAAGAATTTACATGCTGGTGTTCAATTCATTATGAGTAAATTAAGGGAACGTTTTTGGATACTGCGTTGTAGGCAAACTGTCAAGTCCGTTATCTCAAAATGCAGAATATGTCGTCGATATAATGGACGACGTTTGCAAGTTCAATCTTCTCCTCTACCGGTTGATAGAGTACGTGATGCTTCTGTATTTGAGGTGATTGGGATTGATTTGACTGGTCCTCTGTATATTCGATATGAGAAGAAAGTGTGGATCATTATTTTTACTTGTGCTATTTTTCGAGCTGTTCACATCGAATTAGTCTCATCATTGTCATCAGATGATTTCATTCTGAGTTTTAGACGTTTCATCGCTCGACGAGGGAGACCATCTGTAGTTTATAGCGATAACGCAAAGAATTTTTTAAGTACTCAAAATTTGTTGAATAAGGTAAACTGGAAGATGGTAGAGGAAGATAGTCATCTAGAAAGGATTTGTTGGAAAAGAATACCTCCAACAGCTCCATGGTGGGGTGGTTTTTGGGAAAGATTGTTAAGGATTTTGAAGGATCTATTAAGAAAAGTATTAAAACGATCTTGTGTGACCTACGATGAATTATCAACCGTTCTTTGTGATTGTGAGGCTATAATTAACTCAAGGCCTTTGACATACCTTACACAAGATGACCAAGATATGGCTACTCTTAAGAAATAAAAGAAGTGGGAGTTGTAGATTTAGACAATATAGAAAAGACCAGTATGAATAGGCGTATGCGGTATATATTAAAATTAAAAGAAGATTTAAGGAAGAGGTTTAGAAAAGAGTATTTAGGTCAGTTGTGTCAGTCAAAAAGAAGTGGCACATCTTCAGAACTCCAAGTTGGAGATATTGTTATTGTATAACACGACAATCAGAAGAGAATAGATTGGCCATTGGGTCGTATAGAAAAATTAATTGTAGGTAGGGATGGAAAGGTTCGTGTAGTCGAACTGAAAACTGCTACAGGTCATTTGCTTAGACCAGTGCAGCGGTTGTACCCATTAGAAATGGAAGGGGATATAGAAATATTGAAGAAAGTTGAATCAAAAAAGGAAGATCATAGTGATACTACAGAATATGTAACCAGAAGTGGAGGAATTAGTAAGCCCCCTACTCGTTTGATATATAATTAAGTCACACATGTAAATTTTTAATAAGATTTTTTTTTAATTCCTAGACTTTGTCCCCTTATACAAGTATTTGAAGTAAATATCATTTTTTGTTTATGAGTTAGGATTTTTTTCAACCTTCCTTAACCCCACTCCATGTTTATTTAGATTTTTTTCAAAATCAATAGGCTTTATCCCCTTATAAAGATTGATTTTTCCAAAGATTTTAATTTGATATCGTTTTCTATTTCTGAATTAGGATTTTTTTCAATATTTCAACCCCCCTCAACCCCCCATTTTAATGTAGATTTTTTAGGCTTCATCCTCTTAGTCCCTCCCACATTTTGAATCAGATTTTTTTCAAAATTTTCATTTTGGCTAAAAATTTTAAGTTGAGATAGGGGAGAATGTACTTATGTACCGCAGTCTGTAATTATTTCGACAGGAGAAAGTTATATATTTTGTTTTCTCTATATTATGTAATTGTTAGAGACATCTCAGCAAACCAACTTTATCGTCAGCAAAAGGGAAAATGTTTCCGATTGAATTTATTTGTATAGACCGTTTATATATTGTGTAAAGATATTAAGTTCCATTACAGTACCTTGCCGAACACAAACTCCAGTTTAGTTTCGTATTATTTATTTTGTGTCACCCTGTACAACTAGTAGAGTAAGAAGATAAAATACAAATTCAGTTGTATGCAGAATCTGTGTAGTTATAATTTATAATAAGCTTAATTTCTAGACTGTCGCCAGTCTCATTAAATTGATCTCAAACTAAACATTCAATTCACCGAATATGCTTGTTTACTAAATTCAATAGACAAACAGAACACAGCATCTTCATTGTTGGTCGCTATTATCTCGTTCACAATTCTATTAACTATACATTAGAATGACAAACCGAATTAATAGTACAAGATGAACAACAACGTCCATTTTATATTAATAAGTGTATTAGTTTTAGTAATAGATAGAAGTGAACAAACTGTTGATTTGAAACATGTTGAGTATGTGAAAAGTGTTTTTCCAAGAGTGAACTATGTACGAAAAAAACGCAGTATCGATGATAAAGAAAGTGTCCAAGTTAAGGTAAGATATCCTAGAAATAAGAGGTTTGTTCCAACAGCTCCATTCTAATGTCTCTGACTCGTGCATGGTGCGTTCGTAAACTAATCACTGCGCATGTCAGTCCATTTTTTCAACCGTTATTTTGTCAGCGAATTGTAGTTGTTGGAACGCAAAATGCAATGGAATTGGACGAATAGCTATTTAAAATACAACATTAATTTACCTCTCTTAAGCTAGCAGGACCAACTGAGCAGAATCGATTAAGATCTATTACATTATTTATTACCACCTATTTTGTACTAATTTGTACCACTAATAAAAATTTTGTACCATGTGCCGGTTTCAAAAAAAAACATGGCGCTGCTAGGTTAATATTAAGCTAGCAGGACTACATTAAAAAAATAAAATAAAAAATAAAAGAAAGGTAGAATTAAAAGGAACTAAATTTGTACAAATTTGTACCACCAATAACTTTTTCTTACTATTTACCGTTTACAAAAAAATAAACATGGTGCTTCCAGTTTAATATTAGGCTAGCAGGACCACATTGAAAAATACGAAGGTAAAATTAAAAAGGAATGATTTTGTACCAAATTGTACCATTAAGAAAACCTAATTTATTTAATCATACTGCCTGAAACAACTTTAAAATTTATCCAAATCTGTTATAATTAAAAAAGTGACTTTTTTCAGAAAAATAATCTATTGCTATTTTTGCATAAAACACAACATAATTTCTACCGTTAAAATGTAAATTTTCAGAATATGCAACCCTGCCGTTCCTATAGAAACTATCCTTAATTCGTATTCCTTTTAAACGAGAGCAAAACCAATCGTTATTTCTGCAATAAAAGTAACATAATTTGTACCGTTAAAATGAAAATTTTTAGATTTTGTACCCCTGCCTATAGAAACTAACCTAAACTCATATTAGCCTCAAGGGTAAACTACCCTTTTGAATAGTTACTCCTACAATGAAAGTAACATAATTTGTACCGCTAAAATAATAATTTTCAGATTTTGTACCCCTGCCGTTCCTATAGACATTAACCTAAACTCATATTAGGCTCAATAGTAAAGTACCCTTTTAAACGAGCAGAATCAATAGTTTCTCCTGCAATTAAAGTAACATAATTTGTACCGCTTAAATATACATTTTCAGATTTTGTATATGTATATTTTAGCGGTACAAATTATGTTACTTTTATTGCAGGAGTAACTATTGATTCTGCTCGTGCAAAAGGGTACTTTACTCCTGAACCTAATATGAGTTTAAGTTAGTTTTTATAGGAACGGCAGGGGTATAAAATCTGAAAATGTATATTTTAGCGGAACAAATTATGTTACTTTCATTGCAGGAGTATCTATTGATTCTGCTCGTGCAAAAGGGTACTTTATTATTGAGCCTAATATGAGTTTAAGCTAGTTTCTATAGGAACGACAGGGGTACAAAATGGAAAATGTATATTTTAGCGGTACAAATTAGGTTGCTTTTATTGCAGGAGTAACTATTGATTCTGCTCGTGCAAAAGGGTACTTTACTCCTGAGCCTAATATGAGTTTAGGTTAGTTTTTATAGGAACGGCAGGGGTACAAAATCTGAAAATTTATATTTTATCGGTTCAAATTATGTTACTTTCATTGCAGGAGTAACTATTGTTTCTGCTCGTGCAAAACCCAGCTAGCACATAACGTTACCAAGCCTTTCGGCGATGTTGTTTTAAGGGAACATAATAACATACCCATACAACGTAATTGCAACGTTAATGAGAAGTTGTTGAGGGAAATCAAAAGCTCGCGAAACATCTATTTGTTACTTACGTATTTAACCTGCCTGTTATGATAACACAACGTAATTAAGTAACTTGCTAAAAAAGTTTCCACGAGAAGTACTATGGACTTTCGAACGTAGCCATTCGTTTGTCATAACCAACAAAACATAAAAAAATGTCACTTGTCACTTTTTCTTGTACGTATTTGAGATACTGGGATTTGAGATTTTAAAGAAATTGGAAACTATACGTTTGAATAAGTTTGGTAAGTTGTTTTCTTCTTTTCAATAAATTTTCTAATGTATTGTCTGTTGTTTTAGATGGTAAAATTTCAATTTCCAAATACAATAAAAAATAAATCATTGTAAACAAGTAGATACAATTAAATGATGAAATATTTATTTTACACGATAATAGGGATCTTATTGATGCCTTAATACTATAGAAGTAACGATATTAAACAATGAAAGTATCGATATTTAGGCACTGAATTACTGAACTACCAATACTATCGCCATAGTGATACTTAGAAGCAAGTATTGTATCGCTATGTGTGTGGTCAGAGATTATAAGGTTTGTTCAAATATTTGTGCTGAAATATTTTAGTTTTTGCATGTGGTGAAACTTGGTAATATGATTAAGCGTTACCACTGTTTTTTTGTTATTTAATTAAAAGGTAAATTGCCAGTTATTGACACTATAACTTGTACCAGGTAGAGTACCAGTAGAGAAAGAAAAGGTGTCGACTACAGAATATACTTTACTGATGCACTCTTGTTATTAGTTGCCAGCCGTTTAACAAAAATCTTTTACTTTTTCGATACTTTGTTACTCGAGACTTATAAATATCAATATCTTTAACATAATATGGAACAGTATCGATGCCTCTACCACAAAGTATCTGACATGATACCGGTATTGATACCTTTGACCGATACTCAACCCTACTCCCAATTATAAAAATACAAAAACAGAGAAGTCATATACTGCCATCCTAACAAGAGAAGTCCTATCTGAAAATTTATATTTATTATCTTTTAAACCTTTTTTTGTGTAACTTTTTAACATTTTAGTACCTTTGATGCAAATAAGACATTCCTTTTCAGTATCGAGAAAGATAAAATGTAGACAAATGCACATAAAAAAAACTGCTAATTTTGCAGATAAAACCTTTCTTGCTAGAACAGCAGTATAGAAGTGCTCATGTAGTTCACTAAAGATAAATAACATTTCAACTTGTTACGTTTCAGTAAATTAAGTATTACCATTGCTGGACAGTAGTGACGTTTTGGTGGATAAATACAGCATTTCACTGGATATATATACCTATGCCATTTTGCTGTACGTTTGCTGGACAAACTTTAAAAATGCTTTACAATACAGAAAAATTGCTGTAAGTATGGTCGCCCTAGTGTAATAATATTTTAATCATTAAAAATAAATTTTAAAAATATTGTGTTTTAGGTTTCCTTTGTGCTGGATTATAATTCTAGTAAAAATCTCAGGAATTTTAGAAGCTAAAGTTAATACAGAATTGGTTAAAGAAGAATATATAACATCTGAGATTATTTCTTTTTCTTTCATAGCAGAATATCATGCTAAAAAACATTGTTCTGTATAAGTTGAACATCTATTATTAAGTATCAAATTTGTAAAAGTCAAAATAAATGTTATTATTTATTTAAAAAAACAAAGTAAGTAAAAATCAACTAAAAATAGGTGCAATGATTTAAACGAGCATATTTTTTATTTTCTTTATACCTCTATATATTATTTTCTTAATAATAATTAAACAAGTAAATTTATTATCTACAAAGTTATTTTTACGGAAGAAACTATGTAATTAAGTTCACATATTTATTTGTTTACAGTACGCTACTGATACATAAAGTTCTAAATGGTTAAAATATCAAAATAAAATAAAAAAGAAATTAATAAAATTGTCACAGTATAAAAATGAAGTCAATAATGTAATAAAAGTTGACACTTTAAAAAATAAACCTTTTAAAATGTCATAATTTGAAAAATACTTATTGTAATTGGACATCAGTTGGTCTACAAATAAATTCTGTCCATAGTTAGTTCTATGAGCATTTACATAAAATAGTTTCATATGCCTAGTAAGTCTGGCAGGAACAAGGAATCTAATAAACAGTACCAGGCTGTCACTATCAATCAAACCGTTCAATAACTTATACAGGAAAACAAATGATGCTTCTCGACATCTGCATTCCAAACTCTTATAGGTCCCTCTCAAAAATAACATCAAGATCATTTATAGTTTGCTCAAAACTTAGTTCAGAACCTGCAATGACAATCATGCATAATGATATTAGCTGTTTTATGAAACCTTATGACTTTACATTTATCAATATTCAGTTTAAGCAAGTTATATCATATTAAAACTATGATTAGTACCAGTTGTAGGCAAATATCTTTTTTTAGCATCCTACAACTGCCATCTTAATAAAAATCTAGTGACCTTTGAAATATACCTTATATACACTTTTTACTACTTTTGTACAATCGTGCACCATTTTAGGTACCAGTAAACCTTTGCAATATAGGTACCTTATTATACTCTCGTGCAAGCGTTCAGTGTTTTCGATTCTAGTGAACCTTTGAGATATTCTTTATATACCCTTTATACCAACTTTTGTCCAATTTGTCAGTGTTTTTTTTACCTATATTATTAATACCTACCTCTACTTGTATGATATTGATTCTTGATTTCAGAAGCTTTTTAATAATAAATTTATACAATTTTTTATTTTGTTTTCTTCAGATTTTACTATATCCTCAATATACTATTTTGAATATAGTGTATCCAAGGATGGACATAACTATACTTGTAAAGATATTTATTTTAAATTTTTCAAGAGGTCTTTTTCATAATTTCTCAACGTTAATCGTATTTATTTAACAAGCAAAAGAAATTATGAAGAAGTACTTTTAAATTTAAAATAAATATTTTTACAAGTATTGTTAAGTCCATCCGTGGACACACTGTATAATGCTGTAGAATGAATTTACATTATAACATCTATAGAAAGTTTCAGAGCAACTTTCGGGGTAAGTACCGTAAAAGTGCTAGTGTGATGTTTTCCGCTCTTTAATTTTGTAACCTCTGTGAGATGTGCTATAAAAGTCTTGCCGTTGCGGACATTCGGTGGTTGCAGGGATGATAGGGTTACATTAACAGTACATTGCATGCGAGCTTAAAGAGCCTAAAATTGCAGCTTATTAACG